ATATACTCAAAATCAGATATTCAACATCACATTAGAACACAACATTTCCAGGAATTATTAACACAAATGGACACAATACAAAGACAATCAATTGACCAAAACTTACGCAAACTTGCCGAAACCGCAGGATTTGCAGACATCTATACGCAAGACTATAGCGGATATTTTAAGGACATTAAAGATTATATATATCTAAACGGTGAAAAATACCGTCCCCAAGATATATCACCTATCAATATTTTTAACTTTGTTACACTTAAGAATGAAATTCTTGATTTTCTAGGATGGCCCTACTACATCTTAGAAAAACTGACTATTTTATACGCAATGTTTAACTTTATTGGATTTCTTTTTTCACTCTTAAAAGGATTCTATAACACATGTGCTATACACACACAAGTCAATAGACAAGCAAGTGTAGCACGCATACAATTTGCAGGATTTTTTGGAATATTTTCTACATCTATAAACAAAATTCTTTTAGACGCACAAATAAAAGAATATCACACAAAAATAGCAACAAGACAGAACACATACGACGAAGAACATAACAATGCAGACACAACACCAACAGCACCACAGTTACCACTCCTACCACATAACCATCCATTATCCCTAGTCCCACGTAATTTTCGAAATTTAGCCATAACACATAATAATTTTAGACCAACCATATCACAAAGTCCCATCCAACATATAATGCCACACCACTCACAAGATGAAAATACTTATGAACAAATTATAGAACAACCCCATACCACCGCTTTTCAGTCTCAAAATAATAATTTTTTTAGCCCACGATGAGCCGACAATTTGGATCCCTACACCGATCAAATTCCCACCCAACCAACCTCACCACTCCAATCCCAATAATACCACTTTTTGCTTTTCCGCCACCCGATTTCCCATCCAGTAATGTAACATCCGGCATGAATTCCGATACTAATTCACACATCTCAGTTTTATACTCTATCTCACAACTCAATAACCCGAATATTGAAACCCCCGATGAATTTGCCGACTCTGAACCATCTCCATCAAATAATTTTCACACCAATTCCTTAAATTTTTCCCAACCCCCTTTTCAACCCATACTACCAAATAACCCTGACCCAACCAATTCTACACCCTCTTATGCTTCCCAAGTCACTCCAACCTACTCCTCACTTCACTCAGACCAATCATCTCATTCTCCAGACACCCCCCGAATCTCCCCAGAACTAGATAATTTCATTACCCTACAACAACAACCCTATCACCTTGACACCCCAACCATAAACCAAATCTCATCCACAATAGATTCATCCAACCCTCCTACCCCTACACCCTCTTCAATTTATACTGAATCATTAGCACCATCATCCACAACTACTGAATCTTCACTCAGCACTAATAGAGCTTACCGCACTTTTAAAAGGAAGTTCCCCAACCATCCTTTCCCAGCGAAACCAGGAACAGCCCGTGAATATATCAACCATCCACAACACACTAACACAAAAGAATTTTTAGCTATCACCTTACCCTCATTTCCACAATACACCTTAAACACCCCTCATGACACTAACGAGACACGTAACTTTGTAGACGAATACGTTTTAATGCCTACCCTTCCTTGGACCTCATATTATCATTTTACAAATCCCCTTTGCTTACCTTTATCTAACACTCATATCGATATAGAACGAAATAAGGACATGCTATATAGACTCACTACAACACTAACACCTAGACAATTTACTTACATTGGATATAAAAAATCACTAAAAACACACACTGCACCCCGAGCTAATGAATATACACTAGAATATTACGATCATAACATCATCAGAGCTAACCAAGATCAATTCTTAGACGACGATCGCTTCGCTAACCCACAAATCACCGAGAAATTTTTCATTAAAACACCATATGTATTTACACTAAATATCTTTGATCGCAAGTTTGACCACATTATTTCAGAAGCACTAACAGACACGCAAGCCTACGAAAGTTTTAAAGAACGCTTCCAAATATTTTCACTAACCTTTCATTTCCTTGCACCACATGAAAGAGATTTGCACTGCTCACACGATATTATGTTGCGCACTAAACAAACACACACATATACTTATTATCGTTTCATCCAAAATCACTTTGACCTACACACTCCCTCCAGACAACCACACCATCGTTTTCAATTCATCAATTCCAAATACACCTCACCATTCTTTCTTAACTTCACATATTGCATTAAAGATACTAACCTTCATGGTATTCTTCGAAATTATGATCCCATAACCCAAATGTATATCTTTTGTCCCATCACCAAGACCTTCAACGCAGAAGAATCCCGACCCTTCCTCAACCCACACGAGTTTGTACAACCTATAGAAATCCCCATTTTAGAATTCATCCATAACACTAAATTCAACCACAAATTATATAACCTAATCCAAAACACACCTTATGAATTTGCAGTTGGCACTGAAGAACTAACCACCATTAAGGCACTTCAATTGCTTTGGCCACTGCTTCAAACTAAAAATATCATCCGCATCTTAGCCAAATTACTAACAACTTCAGATCTCATCCACGACATCTTCCCCCACGGTTTCTTCCCCGACGACTAACAGGTAAGTATGAATTATACATATTACTAACTAATTTAAATATTAGAAACTCATCATTCTTTATCCATGTTTTCTTTAGAATTTTAGCCTTCATCCTAGATCATCTGAAAAATTCACAAAAGAAAAATAAAAAATAGCAAACTTCTTCAAAACTGTTTAAAACCCTATTAAATTTTTGCACCAACAATTAAATAAATATAATACCAATGCAGTAAATTAATTTATAAATTTTTCCCCCACAAGCGGTAAATCTAATAATGATGAAAATTTGTAACTTAATTTCCCCCAACAACTAGCAGTAAAATTAAAATTCTATGTAGTAAATTAATAAGAAGCAAATACAGTACTAACCTTTTGCTATTTTCATTCACTCGCACAAGAATTCTATCCAAACTCGCACAGCTCGCCCACGAAGAATTGTTTAAAATAATGAATTTCAGTTTCAAGCTTTCACACTCGATAACTCTAACACAAGATAACACGTTTCAAACTTTCCTTTAACCCGGTTGGAAAGGAATTATATACTAAACAAAACTAACCAATGCAGCTTACTAAACACCACAACACATAGCATAACAGCATGACTAAGAAAAGGAAACCAACGGTACCCAAACCGGATTAACCCAGTTTAAAACTGGATAATTTATTCTTTTGAAGACTATTATAAAGTCTAAGAAAGAAATAATAAAACACAAAAAAGTCGAAAGACAAACCCATACCACAAACAATTTGATTTTTGAAAAAAGGACACAACCAACAAAACATAAGGAAAACCACAACAAACCCAACATAAAACGTTGTCACATAACAGGACCTCTCACAAAAACCGCATGCAATCATACTCCCACTCCTGGCCTAACCCACCCTGAAGGACGTCCTGAGCATGCTCTATAGCCGGCCTAACCCACCGCGCTACATCCACGCTTTGTGACCATACTCCTATTTTTAATAAGAGCTACTCAAGGGTGAGTAACTCTTCAAAATAACTGAACTAAAACAAAAAGCTTTTGTGAAAACAACTAACTAAAATCATAATTAAAAAATATTAAACTAATAAAAGTTTTATAAAATGTAAATTACATTATGCAATACATAGATCAGAATACAACACCAAGGACGAACATCCAAAGACAAAATGACCCTACTACACTCGAGAAAGAATGGCCAACTACAATCAATATGCCGCCCACAATCACAACTCAAAGGATTTAGAGTACGACTTGACTTCGCAGAAAAGGACTTCATTGAACTAGACCAATGACCACCTCGATGTTCAAGTATACGTACAGATCCGAGTAACCAGGCATCCCCTCCACGCACAATCTCCACGCCATTCCCAGACAAGGTCAAACACAAAGAAGTTCTCACCAATGAAACAGAAAAACCTGACATAGCCAACCATTCTGAAATCAGATTTGAGTTTGTTGCGAAAACCCAGTCGTTGTCTTGAGAAGACACAACGATTGAATCTGGGACTTCTCTAATAAGAAAACCCAGAAGAAATAAGATGTTCGCCAAATACCAACGTCCATCATCCATCTTTTGAATTGCAGAAAGACTATTCTAAAAAACTCTGTAAAACCCGGATGGGTGGAACCTGATCTAAACTACATTTTATGATAGGATAAATTAGATATTTTACCAATGTAAAGTATTTAATATTAACCAATCATGATCCATCTAACTAACAATCCACTTATTTGTAAGTGCTGAAATTACTTGTAATTTCAGCACCAGAGAGATTTGAATTTAACTTAGAAATTAGTTGAACTCTCCCGAGTACTTCAGCAGCCGCAATAAACCAGTATACCCTAGATCTATTGAGCCTAGCAGAGACTAGTTAAACAACCTGAGACTAGACAGTATAAGAGTAAGATTAGGATCGGTATTAGACTAAGAAGTTGCACGAATCTATCCGGCCGAAAATAAGATAGCGTGACGAGCAGACGGTGTACCCTATCCGAAATTACTCTATGAGTTATACCCATCGGTCCTAACTCAGTACCTATCCTTGAGCATGTTTCCAATTCTTTCTGGAGCATGTTTCCAAATTGTACTTTATCGCGACCAAAATCCCGACCATCGCAATCAATTACGATAAAATTTAATTGCAATAAATTTTTAAACAATTGCGACCAAAATACAATTTCGGACTTTGTACGCGACTATAAAACCCCGTCCAAGACTATGAATTCTAAGTTTGACAACACAAACGCGACTTTTAAAATCTGGAATTTACTCGCGGAAGTCCACACGAGTTAGCCCCGCGATTTTGCAAGCACACAGGTTTTCACTTTGGACATAAAATCCATCCAAACACTCGTACTGGTAGATAATGCGCGGTGGAATAAAATCCAGAAAAGTTTTTTTTTGTGACAATAAGTTTTTTAGGAGTTGGGCAGATCGTGGGAGGACATAATGGCAGACGAGGACACGGAGATCTGGAGGGAGTTGAAGAGGGAGGAGTACAACTGGTCAGACTGGAGAGAGGACCACCCCCAGCACTTCAAGTTAGTCCCATCACATTAGGAGGGGTGGAGGGTTGATACAAACCGGATGAAAAAAGATATTTAATTTTATAAGTTTAAAAGTAACAAGGATATTTTCGCTTCGAAAGGTCTTGATATAGCTTTTTTTAGTTCAATCTATTTCCAGGAAAAAGTCTTCAAATTTTTTGAATTTTTTTTCGAGGTTCGAGTTTTGAATTTTTAAAATTCACTTCATTTCTTTTTTAAATGAAGTCAAACTCCACTACCTGCTCTTTTTTCTCCCCCCACCCCACTTCACAGACCGATTTCATGGTGTAACTGGTGGTTTTGCAAAATTGAATTTGAAGACCAAATATGTTTATCATGGCCTTATTAGTCCGCATGACAAATTTTATAGCAATCGGACAATGTGAACAAAAAAAATTCTGAAAAAAAATTTGCAGGTCGGGGGGAAAGGAAAAAGAGCTTGCATTACCAAACTTTCTACTAGTTTCCAACTTGAGTTTCAGCTTTCGTCCTTCTCAAGTTTGCATGCCTATTTTTTGGCTTTTTTAAACTTGAAAAAAGTTATCTATAACGTTCCCCTAACGAAAGAGCAACATGAACTGTGATAACTGAATTAGAAAATTTTGATGGAGTTGAGATCAGCAGACAGCGGATTTGATTGGGGCTTAAGTTAAAAAAAATGTTATTACTCGCAGTTTTTCTTGACAAAAAGTCTGTTCTTTCGAAAAAATGTCATCCATGGCTCGGTTGCCGTGCTGTTGAGTGTCCATATCCTTCTTCCTTTTCAGCTTGAAAGTACTTGTTCTCTTGATGGTAAACAGTTCTAATTTGAGCTTTAAAAAAGAAACAAAAAAATAAGAAAAAGGATACTGTAAACGTAACCAAATACAACAGACCTCATTGAAGATTCGATTGAAGAGTACAATTCAATCTAAGCTTTGCTCCGGGTTTTTGTCGAATACGATTAGCTTGGAAAATAGAACTGATATCATGTATAAAATATTCTACTGAATATTGAGGCCAAGCTGTGCTGTTTTCATGCGTCTATTGTGTTTCGACGTGCAAGGAAACCTGTCAAATTTTAGTTCGCTTACTGCTAATATCCACTTTTAGAAAAAACGACGATGTGCTTGCTGGGTTGCTGAAATGTTCAGAGAGTGGCTTGGAACCTGATCTAAACTACATTTTATGATTGGATAAATTAGATATTTTACCACTCTAAAGTATTTAATATTAACCAATCATGATCCATCTAACTAACAACCCACTTATTTGTAAGTGCTGGAATTACTTGTAATTTCAGCACCAGAGAGATTTGAATTTAACTTAGAAATTAGTTGACTCTCCAAGAAGACTTCAGCAGCCGCAATAAACCAGTATACCCTAGATCTATTGAGCCTAGCAGAGACTAGTTAAACACCCTGAGACTAGATAGTATAAGAGTAAGATTAGGATCGGTATTAGACTAAGAAGTTGCACGAATCTATCCGGCCGAAAATAAGATAGCGTGACGAGCAGACGGTGTACCCTATCCGAAATTACTCTATGAGTTAACCACCTCGGTTATAACTCATCTGGTGCGACCATAAGTCTCGAACAAGACCTTAATAGCTTAGAATTAACCAAAAATAGATTAGAAATTAGACAAAACATTTTTAAAATGTTACACGACGATAATTTAATCGAAATGTCTCTACGACTCAATAGATCAAAGCCAATATTCCGAACGATAAGAGAACTACCCGGAATTGGAAGAAGACCTCGAACCAGAGACGACATACGACAAAGTAGAAACTTACCGAATAGTTATATGATAGTACGGCAAAAGCCAACACAAACTTTTATATTTATAATCTTATTAGCAATGAATTTAGATTTTCATTTGCAAACTTAAATCTTGAAGTCAATCTTCATGATCATTTCAGGCGCTAAACAAAATAGTAATATACAATAACGATTGATAAAAAGATCTCAGATCGTTCTCCTAAAATTCTGCAGTATTCTATAAAACATATTTGGAAAATATTTATTGAAAATCAAAACAAAAATTAGTAGCATGACAATAAACTGTTAGTAATCATAAATTATCCAATTGTCCCAGCTTCATCACCTAAAACATAACAGCAATCATAAACTCACTAATATCATTAAAACACTAAATCTTTTTCTTAAACAAATTTAAACCATTTTAAACTTAAATTCACTTAATTTTAAAATCAGATCATCAAGGCTTATCCTTGGATCTTAATTCATTTTCTATTTAATTAAATTTAAACTTGATCATCAAGGCCTATCCTTGGATCAAAAAGAACAATTTTGTTCTCCCCCACCCACTTAGCTAGTGTCTAACGACCTCAAACGTCGATTCACTATCCAACCCTTTCAAAAAACCCAAGACTAATAGAAATTTTTCAACAAAACTAATCATTCAAATTAGGATAAACAGTGAAGAACTTCGGTTATTCATCCTTCACTTGAACCCTCCTCTTATCAAGACCCAGCATAAATCTTAGACTTAGTAAGTTTAAAATAGTATCTAACGAACTACTCGCGTTCTAATTATACCTGAACCTTGTGGATCGATTTACTATTCTCCAACCCTTGAACACAATCACTACCCTTAAGTAAGATTAAGTAAGTTAACACCTTAGCCTATACTAGCCACGAGAAAGTAAAAATCATTCTTCGGAATCGATATACTTTTCTCTCCAACCCTGAACAAATAGACCCAGGTTAAGCTAACCAAAAAATCGTAAGGACTAACAATTTAAGAAAATAGAAATCATCTAACAACTTTTTGCATCCGTCATCCTAAACCTTATGTCATTTAAAAATCTAGGAAACAAACAAACAATCGTTTTGCACAACTGTGAAATAGAAAGTAAAAAATACGACCTTGTAATCACACCTCACACACAAACAGTTGGATATATTAGAACAAAACGACAAACACTAAAAAGAAAAATAATAACTAAACAAAGACAAATAACACGAAAAAGATTTTCCAAAAATAGAAACGCATTTTCAGAATCAGAAGCCAGCAATTTAGACGAACTCTATAAATTAAAAGAATCTATAGATAAAAATTGCCCCATACACGATCAATTATATTTTTCTGACTCAGAAACAACTTCAAATTCATCAAAAAGAGGAAAAAGACGAATAAAAAAGCAATATAAACACAAACCAGTACATTTATACAACTGGAATCAACCAATTAGACACATCGATAATTACCTATTAACAGTCATTAAACAAAAAAATGAGCCAAACACACACTCCAAGTGAAGATAGTCCAGATGATGACGATATCTTCCCCTTCCTTGTAGATGCACCCACTGATAGAGGACAGCATATACTTTGCAAGAATTTACTACTAAATTTATTTGAACCCGGAATCAGCCCATGTAAAGCAGAGTTCCCCGATGTAAAGATCAAAAGACAAATTTTTGATCACTATCTGAAAGATATATGTAATTTGACACAACACTACGGAATCTACAACATAGAATTCACCTCACCAAACCCGAATCACCGCAAATATGTAATTCAAACAGAAGACCTTGATTTAGAATTTTCAAAAGTATTCTCAGAATATATAAAAAGCATACAATATCATAACTCACAAAGAGCAAACTCCATATTTACTAATGAAGTTTTTGCAATAATATATAGTTATATCTCAATATTAGAAAACGAAATCCCAATCTCAAATGTCTCACCGACAGAGACATCCAAACATATAAAGGTACGACATGAAATCACACTATTTTCAACTTTTCTACATACAATTAAAGAAAATTTCACCAAAGATGATGTTTCACAACATACAAAACATGATTTGCAAAAAATTGTGGCATGGTTTATAATGGATTATTTCACACATAATATAGATTTAATTTCACAAGCAAGAAAAAATTTTAGACCTCAAAATTCAAACGATGATACCGCCATCACAGAACAGTCAGACTACGTTTGGGACCCCGAATGGTCTCATTATGCATTTATAAATATCCCACAATCAATTGCAAGCCAAGCAATAAGTACAATATCTTATATAAGAGATTATGTAAGAGTAGTACCATTAACCATTGACGCAACACCATTAAACTACAATACATTTTTACCTGATACTCGAAATAACAGTTTAAATTCGACCGTTATACACAATGAAAACCTTAATGGAACTAGAAATCTCACTCAACAAGATATTCAGACACCATCACACTTCATAAATGAAGAAATTGTCCAAACAACAACAACTACACAACAAAGTATTTCACCAATACGTCCAAATTTAACAACACCAAGAAATACAAACACTTCGCTAGCACAGGTAACCTTACAATCAACCGTTAAACCTTCGGTTGCTCCAAAATATTCACAAATGGATTACCAAACATATAGACCCATGACAATACCGTCAAAATCACGCAGAACATTCACAAGAAACAATTTTGCGGAACATAATTATAATTATACACATTCATCAAAAACAAACTATCCTCCACGAAATAACAATAATAATCAAATCAGATCTCGATATTGGAATAATCCAATGGCAACAACCAATTCAGTAAATTTTCAAGCTAATCCACATCCTCCACAGGATCATAGTGAAAATTACCCATTCTTTCAACAGAATAAAAATAAAAAACAAGCACCTCATCAAACGGATTACCTATCCTCAGATGATGATCATTTACAACCAGATATATTTGCACCATATACCCAAGAATATCGCGGACAAGGAGTGCAGAAACCATATACACATCATAGAAATTTTTCTCCACACCAGATAGATACACAAAATCAACAACCAATACAAATGCAAAACCCAATTAATACACAATCTTTTCAACCAATTCAGCCACAAAACCCAATGATTACACACTCATATCAACCAACACAAATGCAAAATGAAATACCACTTCCATATTATCTTCAACAACACGAAATAACAAAAAATCAACTTTCTAATTTTTCACAAATGCCAAATGCAGCAGAATCATTAC